ACCCTTTGCCAAAAACTGAACCTAAAGTGTGCCCTTACAATATCAATATTTTGTTGTTTCTAGACGAGTAACAACTTAACAAAATAGAATTTCTGTAAAACAATTGGACAACTAACCTTTTTTCTTTTTTTTTCAGCACTCATATTTCTTTAATCTCATCTTCAGTTGGGCGTTTTGAAGTAAGTGGGAAAATTTGCCATAAAAGTATACTGTAAATGAACTGTATAGTGGTTCATATTTTCCTTCTTTCTTTGCTATGGTTAGGACAAAAAAAATAAAAGTATAAAGTAAATATTTCCCTTGTCAGCCTACTATGGCTCAGCCCTATTCTCCTGACCCTCCTAAGGATAACTCCTAAATGAAAAATAAGAGTGTTAGCCCCCAAATCCCACTTTTGCATCCCCACTTCTGGCAACCATTTAGGTATGATAAAGAAGAGAACTCCACTGCCTACCCAGGTTCAGCCTCTGTGGGGTAGATGTCCCCCTCTTAAGTAGTAAATCTACTGTATGGTGGGCAACATAGGTGCTAGGTGCTAATTGTTTCTCTCACAGTTGACACTCTGGACAGTTATGCCACTCATGGACCTTTCCTTTTCTCAGTCCCTGGTGCCACTGTCCCCAGGGTCTTAAATCATTACATCATTCCAGCACCCCTTAGAATGGTAGAGGGGCACATCTGGAGCTTACACAACTGCATTGGAGTATCCCGTTGCTAAGCAACGGGGACACTGTGTCGGTAGCCTGGAGAATTCTCTACCCTCAGCGTCTGGCATCACTACCCACCTCCCTCTCATTGGCTCATGGGAGAACTGTTTGTTGACAGACAAGTGGCAGATGTAGAGAGTATTATGTCTGCTTATCAACAGGATGCCATTAGGCTCCTGACCTGCTTCTTTTTTCATCTTTATGGCATGTTTTTCCCCTTCCTGTTAACAATGCTAGTGTGTCCCATAGCAGGCTGACAGGAGGACTAGGAATATTGAAAATTGTTACCTTTATACTTTCCATAACTTTCCTTTCCTGGCTTCTACTAAACAGACAAGCGGGACTTGTATCTTTTTAATTTTCTTTCAGCACTCATTCTTTTCACCCAGCTGTGGGCTCCTATAGCAGAAAGAGAGAGAGGGAGAGAAGGAGTTGCCCCTGAGCATCAGTCAGCTCACATTAGATGTCCCCCTCTTAAGTAGTAAAGTAGAAAGAAAATTATCTTTTTAATTTTCTTTCAGCACTCATTCTTTTTACCCAGCTGTGGGCTCATATAGCAGAAAGAGAGAGAGGGAGAGAAGGACTTGCATCTGAGCATCAGTCAGCTCAC